TGTGTTGGCCGCGCCCACTAATTGGCTACACCTGATCTTAATGAGTTCTTGTTTCCTTTGAAATGGAGTCTGTTTTGAATAGACTAAAATGAACAGCTTTGTATGTGAAAAAAAAAAAAACATGGCATGCTAGCTCCATCCTGTTGGTTAAATTACATGGATTTGGGTGGCCCCAGGAATCAAACCCACTACCGTGGCGGTGCTAGTGCCATGCTCTACCAACTGGGTCCTTCAATTCCGGTCCTGGAGGGCCGAAACACTTCTGTTTTTTTATTTCTACCTGGTAGTTAATTGCACTCACCTGGTGTCCCAGGTCTGAATTAGCCCCTGATTAGAAGGAGAGGATGAAAAACAGAGGTGTTTCGGCCCTCCAGGACCGGAATTGAAGAACCCTAGTTTACCAACTGATCCATACAGGATTCTAGGCTTGAAGCTCACTGATGCCGTGTCACAATAAAAAATAAATGTGTGATTATTGCCATGTGTCCTATCAAAGGGTGCGACTTTCACTGTGGACAGGGGGGGACATGATCCCCCCCCCACATTCTGAAATTGCATGTTTGTCCCCCCCAGCTTTATCATTGCACTGTGATACAAAACGAGGCATCGGTTTGCTTTAGGACCATGCGGATGCCTCAGAGCGGTCAGGTAGGCTGTTTGGTGGTTTCATCCAGCTGGATTTAAGACCGCGCCGACACCACAGAGCGTGCGAACAGAGGCAGCTGTGTGTGTTGTGCTGTTTCTCTGAGTTGTAAAACAAGTAGAGCAGGAACTGGCTACTCTTTATTTGACTGATGTAGCTGGCAAGGTAATTGCGGTTTGACTTAACAACAACAAATATTTATTCCCAGTGCCGAGTTAGCAGTGTAACTGAAATGTAACCTTGGCTAATGTTTCATCCCCTCTCGACTGAAGTTCTGTCTGAAGTGAATGAACTAGCTAGCTATCTAGCTAGTAGCTACCACAGCCAGTTCAGCTCTAGCCTCTAGCTATCTAGCTAGTAGCTACCACAGCCAGTTCAGCTCTAGCCTCTAGCTATCTAGCTAGTAGCTACCACAGCCAGTTCAGCTCTAGCCTCTAGCTATCTAGCTAGTAGCTACCACAGCCAGTTCAGCTCTAGCCTCTAGCTATCTGTCAGGTAGCAGTATCTAACAGCTGTTGTGGAAATGACGTAAATGTAAATGTAAAGTAAATGAAATGGAAATGTTTTGTAGCCTTGATTTGTCCCGTTTCAACAGAAGTAAATGAACTTGGCACATATTTGCCTGTTGATGTACCATTAGAGCTAGCCAAAAGTTGGCTAACAATAGCTATTATTTTTGCCTCAATCACACTAGTAGACCTGAATCAAATGATGAAACCAGCGGCCAAACTATTCTGACCTTTTTTTGACAGCGCACTGTGAGTTTTTATTAGAGTCAGTATTTTGTAGCAATGTTACATTATTGATCTGTCAGTTTCCCTAGTTAATTCCCTACTTTTCACACGGACACAGTATAAACAGCTCTTCAGGCTTCACTGTCATGGTGCACAGTCAGTACACAACACTATGCTCATCATGTCTTAGCAGGATCAGATGGTGACAGGTGTCCCAGCAGGGTCAGACAGCCAGGGAAGACCAGCCTTCGGAGATCAGGTGAATTTTGCGGTATATTATAACAATCAGTGAATGGATACAAAGTGCCGTCTTGAGTTGATGGGTTGGCTACAGACTGGGATCTGGGAATAATGGTAATTTCAATTATTGAACCATTGTTTCTATTCTTGGCCAATATAATGTATAAATGTACACCAAGGTAATTATTTGTCTTGCCTCATCTGAGCAGGATCAGATGGTGACAGGTGTCTCAGCAGGGTCAGGCAGCCAGGGAAGACCAGTCTGTGATGGAGCTGAGGTGAATCGTTGCAGATACAACACTTTATTCTCTCCGTGCAGCAAACACTGGACAAGCCAGATGCTATTTTAAGGCAGTCTGACAAACCTCCAAAGTTGATTTCCAAACTGTATCAAGGGTTGATAGAGGCTTTTCACGATGACACACAACAGGTAAAACAAAAATGTGAGGAAGACCTGGGAGAAGCTATTGATGATGATGAATGGATACAGATATGTTTGAATGCACAGTCATGTTCATATAATTTCAGACATAAATTACTGAAGTCTAAGACCATCCATATAATGTACTATATGCCAGTGAAACTGAATTACATGCACTTAGAAATGTCATTCCTCTGCTGGAGGTGTAAAACAAAAAAAGGGGACATATTTGCATATGTTATGGTCTCGTGAAGGTTGGCTGAATTCTGGCAAAGAGTATGTTCTTTTATCTCAGCATGTCTACAGATTCTCCCTTCTCCCTGTTTTTGTTTGCTTGGAAATGTTAATACTGGAGACTGTTATCAGAAGATAACTGTGTAAATTAGCATTTATAGTGGCTAAGAAATGCATTGCCATTCACTGGAATGTTGGTGGACCCCTAGGGGCAGGATGGGGCAATCCAGCTATTTTGTGTGCAAGTAAAAACAGTACTACAGTACTATGATATGAATTACAGTGCCCTTCGTAATTACTGGGACAGTGAAGCATTTTGTCCTCTTTTGGCTCTATACTCCAAAAGTTTGGATTTGAAATCTAACCATGCTATGATGTTAAAGTGCAGACTGTCAGCTTTCATTTTAGGGTATTTTCATCCGTATCAGGTGAACCATTTAGAAATAACAGCACTTTATGTACATGGTCCCCATTTTAGTGGAGCAAAAGTACTGGGACAAATTCACTTGTACGTGTATTAAAGTAGTATAAAGTGTAATATTTGGTCCCATATTCAAATGCAAATGGGTCTTCCAAATGGACAATGATCCCAAGCATACTTCCAAAGTTGTGGCAAAATGGCTTAAGGACAACAAAGTCAAGGTATTGGAGTGGCCATCACAAAGCCCTGACCTCAATTCTATAGAAAATGTGTGAGCAAGGAGGCCTACAAACCTGACTCAGTTACACCAGCTCTGTCAGGAGTAATGGGCCAAATTTCACCCAACTTATTGTGGGAAGCTTGTGGAAAATCTACCAGAAACGTTTGACCCAAGTTAAACAATTTAAAGGCAATGCTACCAAATACAAATATTGTGTATGTAAACTTCTCTACTATTATTCTGACATTTCACATTCTTAAAATACAGTGGTGATCCTAACTGACCTAAGACAGGGAATATTTACTAGGATTAAATGTCAGGAATTGTGAAAAACTGAGTTTAAATGTATTTGGCTAAGGTGTATGTAAACTTCCGACTTCAACTGTATTTGGTCCCATATTCATAGCACGCAATGACTACATCAAGCTTGTGACTCTACAAATTGGATGTGTTCTCTGTTTTGGTTGTGTTTCTGATGATTTTGTGCCCAGTAGAAAAGAATGGTAAATAATGTATTGTGAAATTCTGGAGTCACTTTTATTGTAAATAAGTATATCATATGTTTCTAAACACTTCTACATTAATGTGGATGCTACCATGGTTACGGATAATCCTGAATGAATTCCAAGAAACAAAATGTGCTAGTTGGGATTCCACTTCTTGTACTCCGTGTCATATGCCAAATGATGTTTTGCATGACAAGGAGTGGCAAGGAGTAGAATGTTATCACAAAATAGACTGGTACCCAGGCTAAGAAGATCCCATAGGGTTGACAGCCTGTTTTGCGAGGGAGACTTGGCAAGACTTGGTTTAGCAGGACCTGGCTAACTGTACACTAAGATAACAGGACCTGGCTAACTGTAGACTTAGTTAGCATGACCAGGCTAACTGTATACTAAGATAACAGGACCAGGCTAACTGTAGACTTAGTTAGCAGGACCTGGCTAACTGTATACTAAGATAACAGGACCAGGCTAACTGTAGACTTAGTTAGCAGGACCAGGCTAACTGTAGACTTACAGTAATTAGCAGGACCAGGCTAACTGTATACTAAGATAACAGGACCAGACTAACTGTATACTAAGATAACAGGACCTGGCTAACTGTAGACTTAGTTAGCAGGACCAGGCTAACTGTAGACTTAGTTAGCAGGACCAGGCTAACTGTATACTAAGATAACAGGACCTGGCTAACTGTAGACTTAGTTAGCAGGACCAGGCTAACTGTAGACTTAGTTAGCATGACCAGGCTAACTGTATACTAAGATAACAGGACCTGGCTAACTGTATACTAAGATAACAGGACCAGGCTAACTGTAGACTTAGTTAGCAGGACCAGGCTAACTGTATACTAAGATAACAGGACCAGACTAACTGTAGACTTAGTTAGCAGGACCAGACTAACTGTGTACTAAGATAACAGGACCAGACTAACTGTATACTAAGATAACAGGACCTGGCTAACGGTAGACTTAGTTAGCAGGACCAGGCTAACTGTAAACTTAGTTAGCAGGACCAGGCTAACTGTAGACTTAGTTAGCACGACCAGGCTAACTGTAGACTTAGTTAGCAGGAACTGGCTAACTGTAGACTTAGTTAGCAGGACCTGGCTAACTGTAGACTTAGTTAGCAGGACCTGGCTAACTGTAGACTTAGTTAGCAGGACCAGGCTAACTGTAGACTTAGTTAGCAGGACCAGGCTAACTGTAGACTTAAATAGCAGGAACAGGCTAACTGTAGACTTAGTTAACAGGAACAGGCTAACTGTAGACTTAGTTAACAGGAACAGGCTAACTGTAGACTTAGTTAGCAGGACCAGGCTAACTGTAGACTTAAATAGCAGGAACAGGCTAACTGTAGACTTAGTTAACAGGAACAGGCTAACTGTAGACTTAGTTAACAGGAACAGGCTAACTGTAGACTTAGTTAGCAGGACCTGGCTAACTGTAGACTTAGTTAGCAGGACCTGGCTAACTGTAGACTTAGTTAGCAGGACCAGGCTAACTGTAGACTTAGTTAGCAGGACCAGGCTAACTGTAGACTTAAATAGCAGGACCAGGCTAACTGTAGACCTAAGTTAGGCTAACTTTACCTGGAGGTGAAGAGAGCCTTCTCGTTGATCATCTGGACTCTGAAGATGTTGACAGCCTTATAGACGTCTATCACATCCTGGTACTTCTCCAGTAGAGGCCTGGAGAGAGAGACAGGTTAGAAAAGTGTCACTCCACAATATTACCACACTAGATTAAACACAACAATGTGGAGTTGAGACGCTATAAACCTCCATAGGCAATCAATGTCATCAATATCAATCAGCATACATTATATTGTATCAGTTGTAATACATTATAATATCCTCAAGATACCTGTAATATGTCCCTGACTTGTCCTTCTGGTTCCTCTGGTCTGACTGGTCTGACTTCATGTCCTCTCCCCCCCACTGGTAGCAGGGGCAGGGGAAGAGGTTTAGCCTTGGGTAGAGGCAGGGGCTGGGGCCTGGTCTGGTCCTCTCTCCCAGGGGCAGGTGCTGTGCCAGGTAAGGTCTGAGCAGGGCTCTGGGCAGCAGAGACACCAGCCAGTAGATGGGCTCCTCATTCACTATGTCATGGAAGCTCTGGAGGTACTGACGCACGGCTGCAGAGGGCTGGATGGAGGACAGGTTCTGTAGGCAGGAGGAGGAGGAGGAGGAGGAGGAGGAAGAGATGGAGGAGAAAGAGGAGGACGAGATAGAGGAGGAGATAGAATGGGAGGAAGAGGAGGAAAATCGAATTACATTTTATTTGTCACATGCGCTGAATACAACTTGTGTAGACTTCACCGTGAAATGCTTGCTTACGAGCCCTTCCCAACAATGCAGAGTTTTAAATAATAATACAATTAAAGGTAACAAGAGGAATAAAATAAAGTACACAAGAATGGAGCTATATATAATAATATATAGGGAGTACCAGTACCAGATCAATGTGGAGCTATATACAGGGAGTACCAGTACCAGATCAATATGGAGCTATATACAGGGAGAACCAGTACCAGATCAATGTGGAGCTATATATAATAATATACAGGGAGTACCAGGACCAGATCAATGTGGAGCTATATATAATAATATACAGGGAGTACCAGTACCAGATCAATGTGGAGCTATATATAATAATATACAGGAAGTACCAGTACCAGATCAATGTGGAGCTATATATAATAATATACAGGGAGTACCAGTACCAGATCAATGTGGAGCTATATATAATAATATACAGGGAGTACCAGTACCAGATCAATGTGGAGCTATATACAGGGAATACCAGTACCAGATCAATGTGGAGCTATATACAGGGAATACCAGTACCAGATCAATGTTGAGCTATATACAGGGAGTACCAGATCAATGTGGAGCTGTATACAGGGAGTACCAGTACCAGATCAATGTGGAGCTATATACAGGGAGTACCAGTACCAGATCAATGTGGAGCTATATATAATAATATACAGGGAGTACCAGTACCAGATCAATGTGGAGCTATATATAATAATATACAGGGAGTACCAGTACCAGATCAATGTGGAGCTATATATAATAATATATAGGGAGTACCAGTACCAGATCAATGTGGAGCTATATACAAGGAGTACCAGATCAATGTGGAGCTATATACAGGGAGTACCAGATCAATGTGGAGCTATATACAGGGACTATCAGTACCAGATCAATGTGGAGCTATATACTGGAAGTACCAGTACCAGATCAATGTGGAGCTATATACAGGAAGTACCAGATCAATGTGGAGCTATATACAGGGAGTACCAGATCAATGTGGAGCTATATACAGGGAGTACCAGTACCAGATCAATGTGGAGCTATATACAGGGAGTACCAGTACCAGATCAATGTGGAGCTATATACAGGGAGTACCAGATCAATGTGGAGCTATATACAGGGAGTACCAGTACCAGATCAATGTGGAGCTATATACAGGGAGTACCAGATCAATGTGGAGCTATATACATGGAGTACCAGATCAATGTGGAGCTATATACAGGGAGTACCAGATCAATGTGGAGCTATATACAGGGAGTACCAGTACCAGATCAATGTGGAGCTATATACAGGGAGTACCAGTACCAGATCAATGTGGAGCTATATACAGGGAGTACCAATCCCAGATCAATGTGGAGCTATATACAGGGAGTACCAGTACCAGATCAATGCGGAGCTATATACAGGAAGTACCAGATCAATGTGGAGCTATATACAGGGAGTACCAGTACCAGATCAATGTGGAGCTATATACAGGGAGTACCAATCCCAGATCAATGTGGAGCTATATACAGGGAGTACCAGTACCAGATCAATGTGGAGCTATATACAGGGAGTACCAGTACCAGATCAATGTGGATCCATATACAGGGAGTACCAGTACCAGATCAATGTGGAGCTATATACAGGGAGTACCAGTACCAGATCAATGTGGAGCCATATACAGGGAGTACCAATCCCAGATCAATGTGGAGCTATATACAGGGAGTACCAGATCAATGTGGAGCTATATACAGGGAGTACCAATCCCAGATCAATGTGGAGCTATATACAGGGAGTACCAGTACCAGATCAATGTGGAGCTATATACAGGGACTATCAGTACCAGTTCAATGTGCAGGGATAGGAGGTATTTGAGGTAGATATGTACATGAAGGCAGGGTAAAATTGACTGCAAAGTTGGGTTGGAACTCGAAAGATGTCATCCTTCTCCATCGGCGCCATCTTGGCATAAACCAAGAGGAGGAGACAGGTATTAGGTATCAGAGGAGAGACAGGTGTTTTACTCTGTGGCCTGCTGAGATGGGGAGGTTCTGTAGGTAGCAGAGAGCTTGTTACTTAGTCACTGCTACTAGCCGGCTGACAGCCAGTAGTCTATAACCTGCACCTTAGAGACTGCTGCCCTCTGTACATAGAGTCATTTAACACTGGTCACTGTAATAATGTTTACATACTGTTTTACCCATTTTATATGTATATACCACATTCTAGTCAAGGCTCATCCTAAATAACTACTGCTGTCCACTTCATATATATACTGTATTCTAGTCAAGGCTCATCCTATATAACTACTGCTGTCCACTTCTTATATATACTGTATTCTAGTCAAGGCTCATCCTATATAACTACTGCTGTCCACTTCATATATATACTGTATTCTAGTCAAGGCTCATCCTATATAACTACTGCTGTCCACTTCATATATATACTGTATTCTAGTCAAGGCTCATCCTATATAACTACTGCTGTCCACTTCTTATATATACTGTATTCTAGTCAAGGCTCATCCTATATAACTACTGCTGTCCACTTCATATATATACTGTATTCTAGTCAAGGCTCATCCTATATAACTACTGCTGTACCAGTGTTAATTTTGGCACTCTTTTTTAAATATTTAGTCCAGTCTTAGTCATTGACTGTAGAACTCGCTACAATTTTGCTCCTCCCTTCCTATAGGCAGAAACTCAAAGAGATTTTCCTGTTTAACGTACTCTGACCTACCTTGATTTGCAAGCAGCTATTGTTCTCCTCTGCTGAGGTTTTGAAATCTGACTTCTTGCACACACACAATAGAACAAACACTGTGGTGTCCTCTTTCTTTGTCTGTCTTCCACATCATTTACTGGACATTGCACATTCTAGGTCTTTTATTCTACAATTTGGGACCCTATACATTTTACATTTTAGTCATTTAGCAGACGCTCTTATCCAGAGCGACTTACAGTTAGTGAATACATTTATTTTATTTCTATTATTTTTTTATACTGGCCCCCCGTGGGAATCGAACCACAACCCTGGCGTTGCAAACGCCATGCTCTATCAACTGAGCTGCATCCCTGCCGGCCATTCCCTCCCCTACCCTGGACGACGCTGGGACAATTGTGCGCCGCCCATGAGTCTCCCGGTCGCGGCCGGCTGCGACAGAGCCTGGATTCGAACCAGGATCTCTAGTGGCACAGTTAGCACTGCGATGCAGTGCCTTAGACCACTGCGCCACTCAACCATTGCCTAAAACTCTCAGAGTCGTGTGGACAGCCTGGTCTCATAGACTAGACGTAACACAGTAAATGTAAATCCGGGACACTCAAATTAGTATGATATGTTACATTTGGTATGGTTACATAAGACGGATGGTTTCTTATGGCAAAAAATGAAAGTAGGGTAGTTGGTCGGGTTGGATGGATGGGCGTATAATGCGAACGTCTAGAAACCCAAAGGTTGCGAGTTCGAATCTCATCGCGGACAACTTTAAAGACTTGCTTGGGCCAAGAAACACGAGCAATGGACGTCAGAACAGTGGAAATCTGTCCCTTGGTCTGATGAGTCCAAATGTGAGATTTTTGGTTCCAACCGCCATGTCTTTGATCTCCGCATGTGTGGTTCCCACCGTGAAGCATGGAGGAGGAGGTGTGATGGTGTGGGGGTGCTTTGCTGGTGACACTGTCTGTGATTTATTTAGAATTCAAGGCACACTTAACCAGCATGGCTACCACAGCATTCTGCAGCGATACGCCATCCCATCTGGTTTGGGCTTAGTGGGACTATCATTTGTTTTTCAACAGGACAATGACCCAACACACCTCCAGGCTGTGTAATGCCCAGTAAATTAAAATCTTCCCTGTCATGTTGTCCGGTGCCAGATTTTCCCTAAGGAAACTCTGAAATGGCATATTGTTTTTATGAAGATTTTATAATATTGACATGAAATCTGTCGCCAATTGGATTGAAACCTTGCTATAGACACCCTAAAAGCCAATTTAGGGAAATATTATTTGAATGCTAAAAGACAATGAAATGAACTGAATGAACTAAAGGGAATCAAAAAAGGGGAAAGAAAGCAATTCTGTTTTGGGTCTAAATACACTAAAACTTGAGTAATAGAATTTGAATTTAACCAAAACAAAAAAGGGTTCAATAAGGTTACTGGTTCATTGAAAAGGTTAATGGAAGGTTAATTGATTATTAAATGATTAATTGATAAATCAACTACTACATTCCAGTTGTTTTTTCTTGCTATACGTCCTCTTACATTGTATATTAATATAAACCTTAAATTTTATATTAAGATATATCTTAAATTGTACATTAAGGTTGTTATAAGAGCGTCTTACCAGGTGTGGTGGAGTTTGGTTCTGGGCCTCCTTCAGAGACTCCTGGTAGCGTTGATGTGTTGTCTGGAGAAACAGCATGATGTCTGGGGGACCCTGGACTGTTCTGATCAGCACCTGGCACTCACACACACATTTAGCAGACACTGTTATCCAGAGCAACTTATCTTAAGATATCTAGGGACGACAACCACGTATCACAGTAAGTAAAACTTTACGGTATTCGTTTTATTTAATGTATTTTCCTTTCACCTGCAGCATGGTGATGACTCTGTCCAGGTATAGCACCTCCTGGTGGCAGAAGTCAGCGTAGAAGCGGGCAGGCAGACGTCTGGTATACATCCCACTGAGGAAGGCTGAGTAGAGGGTCTCATCTGCTACTGTCTTACTGGTCTCCCACAGGACGTCATAAATACTCACCTCTTCAACCAGTTCTGGTGGGGGGGGAGGAAAAAATAAATAAAACATTTGCTTTGGTGCAGTTTTCACAAGTATGTGTTACATTTTAGCAACTCTTAGTACAAAACTCAAAACAGATAATCAAAAAGGCAGCCGTTTCAAAACTCTAAACACATTTTCTATTGACTATTACAACACACAAAGTCATACAGTCACTTTTACACCCAAACTTAATCAGTGTTTCATCTAGAAAATACATGTTTCACATTGCAATATGAAGTAATTGCTTTTCACAGTGCAACGCTCACATTACTTTCGATATGATTCTCTTCTCATTTGTTAAAATACATTTTACTATTACCCTAATATACCTTTGATGTAGCAGGAGTTTTTATCCAAAGTGACAGCAGTGAGTCTACACATTTTCGTATGTGACCCCAGCGGGAATCAAACCCACAACTCTGGTGTTGCTAGTGCCATGCTCTTACTAATTGAGCCACACAAGACACTACAATATATGAGCGCAATATAATACTGTAAAATACAATACATGATTACAATACAGGTGGAAGAGGTATGATCGCCATCCCCATGAGCATACCGCCCACCTTCAGGCCATGGATGAGGCATGCAATGACATCAATCCAGAACTATGTCAGGCTTGGATTTGACATGCCAAAAAGGTTTTTCCCCAGGCGCATGAACAATGAGGACATTTATTGTGATGTCGATGAGAACCTATTGCAAAATGCTCCAGACAGGCTTGATGCAAACTAGCCTGCTAAACATTATGTTTCTTTCATTCATTTAATTTGTTTCATTTGATTACAGTACACCTACAGAACCAGTCACAAGCTTGGACAAACCTACTCATTGAAGATTTTTTCTTTTTCTAAACTATTTTCTACATTGTAGAACAATAGGAACTCATTTTTGA